AAAGAAAGAAATTCTACTCTACAAATCTTATATATATCTACTAAACATACACTTATCTATTCAATAGATTATACTATGGACCAAAGACATAGAATTAAATTTTTATAAATGAAATCATGGTTTGCATTTTCCAGGGAGATGCACGTAGAGAGATTCTTAAAGTCAATGGGATCAAAGGATGCTTTCCTCACTGATCTATGAATACTCAATAAAGGAAAAGCCATAAAATGTTTTATACTTTGTGGCCACTATTACAACCATCTTTTCTGGCACGAATAGACATATAGAGCGAGGATCAAGACTAGGCAATAAATCTGCACAACTGACACAAGCAGTTACACAACAGTGCTTTAAGACAAACAGCTGAAATTTGTGCTGTGACCGGAAGGTTAATTGAGGGTAGAAAGAGGAGGAAATGAAATGAGAAGCAAACAGTCACTGTGAGAATGGTGGTTCTTTGCCTACATGTATGGTGTTGTAAGATGACAGCTTAAGACAGAAATGGTTGAAAGGATCAAGGCAAGCAGGTTGTACTTAACACTCATTAGCCAATGTAGCCTTAGATATCTGGACACTGGGTTCCTACTCTGGCTATCCCACTATCTAGTAGGATAGTATATCAAGGGCATGTGATTCCACCAAATGAAAGCCTTACAAGTACAAAGAAAAGAAAACAATAGTATTAATTCCTGACAGTATTAATTCCTATTTTATGAATAAAGAAATTCCATATGAATATAGCAATGATAAATTCATATCGTAAGAAGTAGAGTATATTGTATTGTGTGTGTGCATGGGTATGTATATGTGTACATGTCCCAGTATGTGGAAACCAGAGGCCTATGATGAATGTTTCTCTCAGTTACCCTCCATCTTCTGGTTTGAGACAGGGTCTCTCACTGAACCTGGAGCTCACTGACTCAGCTAAACTGGCCAGCCAAGAACCACAGGGATCTGCCTTACCCATTCTCCAGCATTGGGATTACACATGCAAGCCACTATATTCAACTTTTTACTGGAGATCTGAACTCTGGTCCTAATGTTTGTGCAATAAGTACTCTATTGACTGGGCCATCATCTTGCCAGTCCTAAGTAGAATTTAAATGAGAAAAAGAAAAGAGTAGGAACAGTTGACCAGTGGCAAAACTATATAGAAGATATGTATAACAAAACCAGAAAGGAATACCAGATAGAAAGAGTAAAGACAGAGACACTGAAGAAAAACCCAAATAGAATCCCTTCAAATAAATGAGATAGGTAAAAGAGAAGGGAAAGAAACGTAAGTGTTCCTTAGTTACTCGTGGACTAAGTTACCTTAAAGCCAGAAGACGCTAGGTTTTCAAACGTTTTAATGCATACAAAAAGCCTGAGTAATTATCTTAAAAACTAACAAAGTAATAATAAGATAAACATTTGGAAAAAAAATTAATGAAGCAGTGAGATGGCTTAGCAGGTAAAATGGTTGCAGCTAAGCCTGAATACCTGAGTTCACACCCTGGGACCCACACAGCGGATGAAGAAAACTCACTCTTGCAAGATGCCCTCTGATAGCCTCCTGTGTGCCACAGTGTATACACACACACACACACACACACACACACACACACACACGAACATACACACAATCAAGGCAAGTCAATACATTGTTAAAAAATTAACTTTAGGGGGAACTGAAAAGATAGCTCAGTCGGTAAAAAGCCTACTATGCAAGCATAAGGCCCTGAGTTTGGATCCCTAGCAACCATGTTATATGGTGTAATAGAGCCCATTCTCATGCTGAGTTCCAAAAAAAGGTGGCTCTCTGGATTTTATTGGCAAGCCAGTCTAGTTGAAAAGAGAAGCTCCAGGTTCAAGGAGAGAACCTGAGGAGACAAGATTGAATGCAAATGTAGAGAAAGAACAGACACAGACTTCTGGCCTCCAGTTGCACCTGAATGGTTTCAGTAGCTGGGTATTATTGAGAAAGGAAACACATACCTCTGACGCTAAAAGTACTGAGAAAAGGAATAGTTTCTATGGCCCATAAAGAACATTTATTCATCAAATATGCTTTACTCTTAGCACTTTCAGCTAAATGAAGGAGAAACCAGACACTGTAGTTCCTTCACTTAGCCTATAGTTAATATCAAGTACTGGTAATTTTCTGACTATTGCATTTTTAAGTAATACCAGACACTAATGATTCTACATCTCCAGAGACACTGAAAACCAACTGTCTCTGTGTTATATTGCCATTGAATTATTTTTAAGAGTTTAATTTTATGGACCTCTTTATATATTAAATTTTAACATGTACATGATAGTAATGACGGCTCACGACTATAATCTTAGCACTTAGGAGCTAGCCAGAGGATCTCCAGGAGTTTAAGCACAGTCTCGCTTAAAGAGTGAAACCTGGGCTGGAGAGATGTGTCTCAATCAAATTTACTTTCTCTTCACTTTCCTGGGTAGTCACAAGAACATCACATCATTAACAACTGAAAGAGAAACCTGTAAAGGAAAACCAGAAGCTTTGTGGATTGCCTTTAATCAAATCCTTTCCTCAGCTTAAACTGTGGCATTTTATATAGCAAAGCTATCCACCCAAATAGTTTATTCCAAGTTCCCATAGGCTGTGTACAAATTTATCTTGAAAGCAGTGAGCTCCTGTTTGGGATATTTATACAACTAGCTAGGAAGAACCACACACTGAAGGGATGATATGGTTGGGGGCAACTATCCTTTCCCTAACAACAAAGCAGTAATTACATTCACATGTCCACTATAGACAGAAATACTCCTCGGCATGATCATTTTCTAAGAAGCTATCCTCAATCACATAGACTAATTACACAAGTATTCATACTTATCACGATGTTCAACAGATCTACTTACTTCATAAAAATTCGTAAGAAAACTGAAATGTTTAATTCTTCAAACTTTAATAAAAACATCCCACGATCATGTAACTGGGGAAGCACTTCCCACGGAGGCACCCATTTGCCCTTATGCTCTCACTCATGGCGCATACCTTTCTGACTAAGCGAAGTGCTTGTGTCCTCTCCACCTCATTGCTCTGCTGGATGTCAATGCACCTAAATAATACAAAACACCAGTCATTGTGAAATCCTATGTAACAAAACCTCACAGAATATTAAGTCAGATTTATCTTCATAATCCAATACAGTGAATTAAAACTTCAAAAACTATAGTACACACTTTCCTAGTAACAGCAAATATTTAATTACATGTGTCTAGTGATAAGTGTTACCAGAAACATCAGTTAAAATATCAAAGGAAAAAAGCATCTATAAAGAATCACAACATACAGAGCAAAGTATTAGAGACATATTGAAAAATTTTACCTACCTGATTAAAAAAAATCACAGTAATATATATATAAACTATATATATGAAAATATTTTCATCTTGTTTTAGTTTGTTATTTTAATCCAGGTTTAAACTATGTCTATAATGACTATCTTATTCAATGTAAGACTCCTATTTTAGCCTGGCATAGCGGTACACCTTTAATCCCAGCACTTGGGAAGCAGAGACAGGTGGATCTCTTGTGAGGTGGAGGCCAGCCTGGTCCACAAAGTGAGTTCCAGGACAGCCAGAATTATACATTGAGATCCTGTCTCACAAAAAAAAGAAAAGAAAAGAAAAGAAAAGAAAAAAGAATTCTATTTTACTAAATAATTTGAATTCAGAATTCCCTTCAAAAACATTTGATCAAATTATCATTTAGTTGACATCGCCTTGTAAAATGTAATAAATTATAAAATTTGAAAAATTAATTGGTTTTACATAACAAAATTATTTTTCAAATACTTATATTAGGCAGTTCAGTATTTTAACCAATATTTCATATAGGTAGGTAAGTTACTATTCAAAAGCATTCCTGTTTTGTCTAAATATAAGTAAAAAGTGAGGGAGAACTAGAATGGCTGCTTTTTCAAGTCCAGCAAAACACACACACACACACACACACACACACACACACACACACACACACACACACACTCATACAGATGAGATTTATATTTTTGGCTATTACCATGAAGCTTGGATCATATCCAATCCTCCTGCCAAAGCCAACCATAAAGACTGAAAAACTTTCTTTGGACAACTACTACTAAAAGGGAAATGGAGAATAAGCCTGAAAAGAGAAACATAAGGAGCTCCACATTCAAGCGGGCCTTTTCCACTAGGAACATCTGTCAGCCCCGCATGTAAGGCAGGTAAGAATTTTAACTAGAGGGCAGATAAGAGCCCAAAGGAGGACAGGACAGGAATACGATCTTAAAAATCTGCATGCGGTGTTCTCACCAAAACACTTGTCAGGTTGTGTGTCATGTAAGGGCAGAATAGGCTCCTAGAGGCTAAGTAAAAACCTTCTCTGAGAAGCGTAGTACAGAGCAGAGATGCCACTAAATACATGACTAAGAAAGATGCTTGGGCTGCAGTTGGCCAAGGAGGCAGCTCAGCTAAATGCCTGCACTTTAGGTTCAGACTCCAAATAATTACTTCCTTGGACATTAGCAAAACCTAAACTAGTTTAATATACTCAATCAGGTAAGACTCTAGAATAAAACTCTCTTCAAAGGAAAATGAAAACATGATACAGTGCTGGCAATTTTAAACACTAATGGTTGTTATGAGCCATGATTTAAAACAAATAACCAAACAAAAGTTCCAAGAACTCCAAATCAAAAGACATTGACAACAGAAAGAATACAAGTGTTTACATATTAAGAATTGTCAGACTTCCAAAAAACTATGGTTATGGTTAGTATATCCATAAAAATAGAAAGATGGGGAAATAAAGCAGAAACTAATTTTTAAAGAGTAAAATAAATCATAAGGCAATAACTGAAACAAAACATTAAAGAGACTGACTTACTGGTAGGATAGAGTGGAATAAAAGTAAAAAGTAAGCCTTAAACTATAAAAATAAACAAACAAAAGCCAGCAAAGGTTGAAAACTACAGTAAGGGTGCCAGACAAAAGTACAATAATGGGTGATATTAAAGATGATTCAACATAGTGCAGATGCAGTGCCCTGGAAAGGTAGAATATAACACATAAAACCTTTACAGCCCCACAGAGTGACGGGAGCAAAAGTAGCAGAAAGAAGAGACTGGCAGTAAAAAACAGGCAGAAGATACCAACGTACACACACTGAAAAATAACTAATAGATGGGGCTGGAGAGGTGGCTCAGTGGTTAAAAGCTCTTGCTGCTCTTGCAAAGGACCCACGTTCAGTTACTGGCACCCACATGGTGGACTGTAGGCATCAGTAACTCCAGTTCTAGAGGTTCTGGTGCCTTCTTCTGACCTCTAGAGGCGCCAGGCAGGGACACAGTGCACATACATATATGCAGGCAAAATATCACAATCAATCAATCAATCAACTCCTGGTAGAGCTAATCAACATGTAAGGAGTTAAGTTGTAACAAGAAACAAAAAGCAGCAAAGTGCAGAAGGTGGGCTACACTGCTCTGCTGGTAGGAAGAACGGCAGCCTTGAACACAGCAGGGATGGAAAACAACCTCCAGAGCAACTCCTATAAAAGAAAAGACTTCGGAACTGAGACACTCTTGAAAAAGGACCCTGGTCATTAAAAGCAAACCAACTAACCAAATATAAATTCAAGAAGCCAGCTGTGTGCGGTGGCTACCTGCAACCCCAGGCCTTAGAAGGTAAGAGGTAGGAGAACCAGGAATCAAGCCCAGCCTGAGCTACCTGGGACCTTGTCTCGAAATCACAAAACTGAAGAAAAACCACAAAGAGAGAAAAAGAAAAAGACAGAGAACAGATATGACAAAACACCACATGTACAAGTTAACAAGCTTGAATATATAAACCCCATAAAAGATATGTCAAGGAAATGTGCAAGAGAAAGGCTGGCACTCCAGGATCAGCACTCAGGAAAAAGCAGTATTAAGAAGACAGACTTCTCAAAATTACCAAAGGCTGAGCTCAAAACCAAGCCTTAGCGAGTTCCAAACAGACAAATAGCCGATACAGCATGGTGCTTGTACCCACTAAAGAAAGTAAAACACAATTAAAAATTAAAAAAAAAAAAAAATCCAACCCTGTAAGATCCACTGGTTTCTTTTTACCATGTAGAGGAAAACACTAGCACAACTCACAAGATTTGCATAGTATTGTTCAAAGAATAAAGAGGGCAACAACTCAGTTGTTTCCTAGAACTGAAAAATAAAGGCCAACGCCTTCAGTTTATATAAAAACGACAAGCTATCATGAGGAAATGGTATTTACTGCAACAATACAAGAACACAGGTAATTTACCAAACAGCTACAGAAAGCTACACTGGAATACGAAACACTTTCCACCTGAACTCAGGAAGATTTCAATTCAGTAAAGTTCTCAGCAATGTGGTAAAGCAAGAGTAAGGAGGTTAAAAGTATTGGAAGAAATAAGTCATCATTTGCCATTAATGCTTATGTACACAGGATAATACAATCTGTAAACTAGTGCAATGGAAGAAGACAATATGCCCTATTTTTCTAAATATTAGCAGCTAAAAACAGTAAAGAAAAAGATTAATGACATTAATCATTGATACCATTATAAAATCTAAGCACATATGTTGGTACATGTCTGAAACCTTAGCACTCAAGAGGTTGAGGCAGGAGAATTTTAAGTTTGAAGCCAGGCAGGTACATGTAATGAGACCCCGTCAAAACAAAACAACATAAATAAATAAACAAATCTACAACATTAAAAAAAACAAGAACAACCACCCAAATCTAGTAAACACAAATAAAGTCCACAAACCAGTCAAGGCCTCCGAAGTATTAGTGCCATTTCTTAAAAAAATTCATACACCAATATCTCCCAAGGCTAAACACAGGCATCACGTTCCAACATTCCTATTTGTATACACGCTTGTAAGAAATGAGAGCCTCAGAGTTGCACAAAAATTTCAGGCAGCTTCTTTCAAGTAACTCAACACTGAACACTATCCTGAATTAACAGATAACATTGTGTTCTAATCTTTAAATATTACATAGTAAAACTACATTGAAAAGACAAAAAGTCTATCAACTTGGAAGAAGCTTACAGATAAGAAAAAAATAACTGATGTATACTTAGGTATGTTGATTAGATATATATTAACATATAATGTGAAATGCAAGGGCTGGCAAACTTGTCTACAAGGAACAAACTATTTTACAATTGCCTCCCTGGTATGCTAAAAATGCCCTTAGTCTTACATGATCCTGTATGTTTGGAAACATTATCAAACTTCACATAAAAAATCAGTACACATTTGATACTATGCTAAAACTCTACACAAAACCTTAAAAACATATGAAACAAGCCATTCTATGAAAATTACCTAGCTATTAAATAGTCCACTTTCAATTTTAGCACCTTCTGCAGAATACTGGAATCTTGGATGAGATAGCGCAGCGCTCGCAACCCAGCTGCTCTCACTTCTTTTGCTTCGTTTAATAAAGCTAAGCGCAAACTGCATGAAAACAAACAAAAAGTTTTGTTATTATCAGAAAGACATACAGAGATATCAGTAGAGTTTACGTTGCCCTCATCTGAAATGCTTGGGATGAGAAGTATTTCTCATTCCTGGTGTTTTTAAACTGGGACTACTTTCAAGGCTATGCCAAACGGAGTATCATCTCTCATCTGAAAATCTAGAGCGCCAAACTTTTGAACACTTGAGATAACTAACAAAGTCTCAGACTTTGGAGCATTCACCCAGATCAACTTCTTCCTCAGCTGAGGATATCCCAAACTTTCAGTTATGTATGGTTAATTGCATAAAACAAAACAAAAAACTACTCCAAAGTAAAGAATTTCACTTAATGATGTTAACCCATTCTGGCACCAAACAGTCTCACTAATACAGCCAATGTTGACTTTTAATCCTGTTCTGGCACACTGTAAAACTATAAGGAGATCCCTTAGAATCTTCTCAAAGTCTATCTTCAGCTATGTTTCTACAATGTATCCTTTATTTATATCTGTGCTTCCACAAGTTCCAAAGGAAGATTAGTTTAAACCAATAACAAGATCTTTAACAGTAGCAAACACACATTACTAGTAATCTTAACTTTTAAGAACATCAAATAGTAATGAAGCTGCCTAATCAATAACTATTAGCATACAACAAATTTGTAATAGGTACAGATTTTCTTTGGTAAAATCTAGATTTATTGGTTCATATTACTCCTGGGAAGAGTGAGAGAAATTCAGTCCGCAAATTTAATTTTTAAATTTAACCTTTAAAGAAGTCCAGACATTTTGAACAGTAACTAGTTCTTTGTATCCAGCAATCACAAAAGCTCAAGTAAGGCTTCCAACACAACCAAGTCACTGAAGATCCTGATTTTTTTTCTTCTGCCAATTTCTACAGAATTAAGCATGTGTTGCCATTATCCTACCTTTACTTTAAATTTTTACAATGGAAACTGCTAAAATAAGGGAGAGAAGACTGAACTAAACTTACCAAATTATGATGTCTTCATAATTAAAGCCCAATTTTTCTTCACTATGGCCAATATCACAAAGAAGCTGTTTAGAAGAAACAGAAAAATACCTTGCATATGAATCAGATTTACATATCTATGTGCACAATTTAGGCTCAAAATAGGGCATTTTTCTTTAATAAATTTCTGAAAAATCTAATTTTATTATAAAAATATGCCGCATTATTTCTATCATCTTACTTTCATTAACCACAATTTTAGATTTAACTCTCCTTCCCTTTGTTTTTATTTTGTTTTGTTTTGTTTTTTGAGACAGGGTTTCTCTGTGTAGCTTTGGTGCCTGTCCTGGAACTCACTCTGTAGCCCAGGCTGGCCTCAAACTCAGAGATCACACCTGGCTCTGCCTCCCGAGTGCTGGGATTAAAGGTGTGCTCCACCACTGCCCGGCTCTCCTTTCCCTTTTTAATTGCTGTCTCTCATTCTGTCTTTCTCAACGTTTTATTCACCACTCTCAGTGGTTGCCACTGTGTTTCCAAGCATTACTGATTACTCTACCTCGTGATTTCTTCACCACATCCTCAATGTTGGGAGCTCACAGTACTTGACTTCATTTACCCTTAGCCCTCACTCCCATAAGTTTCTCTTTTTATCTTTCAAGATGCATCAGCTATCACTACTGTTAACTGGTGATTGTTCTCAATCCATACAAAGTCAATAATTTATATTCACACCTATATTCACTCTTCATTGTTCTTCCTGAATGTCACCTTTTTTCCCATTGGTCAAAAGCTGTTGTTACTGTTGACATCTTTTCCTGGTGTTTGACCAGATTTTGGCCTAGGTTAGTAGTTAACAATTCTCCATGTTTCTATTTGTCTGGAAAGGATTTTATTTTCATTTTTGATGCTAATTTGGTGACTATATTGAAGTTTAGGTTAGCTGCTATTCTCTTCCTAAAGTTTCATGTCACTTAGTTAAGTCTACCATAAGTCTTGCTGTCTGCTCTTTGGAAACAAGTCCTTTTTCCTCAAACTCTTACAAAGATTTTCTTTCTCATCACTGGTCTTCAGCAGTGTTACTTTGATTTGTTCAGCTAGTTTGCTTTGTATCTATCTTAAGATAAATAAAACTTTGCAGGCTGGAGAGATGGCTGTGGTTAAGAGCACTGACTATTCTTCCAGAGACCTGGGTTCAATTCCCAGCAACCACATGGCAGCTCACAATTGTCTGTAACTCCAGTCCCAGGGTACCCGACACTCCCATATAGATATACATTCAGGCAAAACACCAGTGCACATTACAAAAGATAAAAGGCCGGGCAGTGATGTTGCATACCTTTAATCCCAGCACTGGGGAGGCAGAAGCAGGCAGATCTAAGAGTTCAAGGCCAGCCTGGTCTACAGAGTGAGTTCCAGGACAGCCAGGGCTGCACAGAGAAACTCTGTTTTTGGAAAAAAAAAAAAAAAAAACTACATGTGGCTCTCTAGTGTTGAGTATTTTATCAGTTTGTTGTTGTTTTGACATCCCACATATTATCTCTTCAAATCACTTCTGTCCAATTCTATTCTTTTCTTCTGGTAATCTGGGTATATGCATGTCACACCTTCATTAAGTCGTCTTTTCAATTTTTTCCAATTTCTCTTATTTCAATTGTTGCATATTTTCTATTGACTCCATCTTCTAATATGTTTATCTTCTACTATAGGAGTGATTCTCAGACTATGAGTTGCAACCCCTCTTGGGATTGAATGACTCTTTCACAGGGGTTGCCTAAGACTATCTGCCTATCAGGTATTTACATTATGATTCATAACAGTAGCAAATTACTGTTATGAAGTAACAAAGAAAATAATTTTATGGTTGGGGTTCACCACAACATGAGGAACTGTTAAGGGGTCACAGATTTAGGAAGCTTGAGAAACACTGTACTATACACATCTAGAAATTTTTAATTTTAGATAATGTATTTTTCTCTTCTTAAATTGCCCCAGGACTCAACAACCACACAAGGTGGACCTCCTGGAGCTGTCTTTTCTATCCTCCACCTACAGTACTCTTCAGGGTTACCCTTGGCCCTCAGGTTCCATCCACAATGCATGACAGCAAGAATTCCATGAGTATAAGATTCGGAGAAGGAAGCTTGCTTCTTAGAGTCTCCTCTCTGCAACTTTGGTCCCTGTACCTCTTGATGCCAAGTAGTTTGCTGTTTTCAAAGCTGCTTTGGTTACTGTTATTGAGAACACTGGTTTACAAGGTACATGTGGTTCTAATATAGGACTGAAATTTGCAAACTGGTTTCTACTCAGAAGTTGAATAAAACTTCCTCATATATATTGGGACTAACTGAAACAGGTTAAAGAGAAAGTAAATTCTTTAATACTAATAACTCAAAAAGGTCTCCAAAGTGTTATTAATCTTCCACATTATGATGCCAGAAAGGTAAAACCCTAGGTGATCTTGGTATCAGTTATTGTGAAAAGAACAGCCCCTAAGAACAAGCAGACAAGTTTACTATTCCTGCAGCAGCACACGTGCAAAACGCCCTCACAATTTCTTCACAGATAGAAAAGAAAGGATAAGGTAGACTCCCAGGGAAAAAAAAAATTTTAAGTTCAAAATAGAATAGGTGAAGATAGAAACAGAATAGCTATTCTTAATTATTGCATTATTACAGAATCCTTAAGTTTGCAATGTGATGGAGAGAAGTTTCAGGTTTTGAGGTTGTTTGTTGGTTTGTCTGTTTGTTTTGTTTCATTTTACTCTTTGGGGGCCAGCCACCCAGCTCCCAAACAAAGACATGGAGATTTATTCTTATTTATGAATGCCCAGCCTTAGTTTGGCTCGTTTCTAGACAGCTTTTCTAACTTAAATTCCCGTTTCTTTTTAAATACATTTTGCCTCTCGGCTTTTACCTTTCTTTATTCTATATGTCTTTCTTCCCTTCTTACTCAGTGGCTGGCTGTGTGGCTGTGTGGCTGGCCCTGAAGTCAGTCCTCCTCTCCTTCTCCTTTTCTAGCTCCCTCCTTCTCTTCTAGATGTCTCCTCCTATTTATTCTCTCTGTATGTCAGCCCACCTATCCTTTCTCCTGCTTAGCTGCTGGCTGTTCAGCTCTTTATCAGACCAATCAGGTGTTTGAGGCAGGGGAAATAACACAGCTTTACAGAGTTAAGCAAATTAACATAAAAGAATGCAGCACATTTTTGCATCATTAAACAAATATTCCACAGCATAAACAAATAACACATCTTAAACTAATATTCCACAACAAGGTTTTCAAAAGAATAAGAATTTTTTCTTTAATTTGTTTTAACATATAATGCTCCAAGTACTTAAAACTAAAGAACAATTTTTATATAAATACATATATCTGTAAAACGATTAAGATTTTTTTCAAAGTTTTAAGACCATAGGAAAATATTCTGTACCTTAAAAAGTCAACTATATATACCTATACCTATAAGTCAACTATACCTAAAAGTGAAGGTAACATATTAAGTAAAAAAATATTTACAAGAGGATATGAACTAAAAATACTTTGCAAACTTTGGAAAAAACATCAGAAACAAAATCTACTTTTGTAGATTTATAAGCATTATATCTATGCTATTAATTTTTAATAATAAAGCATGGTAGTAGCACACCTGTAATCCCAGTACTTGGGAGGCAGAGTCAGGAAGTCTCTATGGGTGCTACAGCCTGGGCTACATGAGACTATTTTCACAAGAAGAGACTGCAGCAAATATAGAAAATTAAGACTCTCTTACAGCTTGCCAGTGCCCCCAAAACATATACAACAGAAACTTTCTTTCTCGTGATTTACAGACCCAAAGTCTAGATGATGTGGGCAGAAGTACTGTCTTGTAAAGGGCTTTCTCTTTGGCTTGCAGATGGATGTTTGCATCTTCTTGTGTCTTTCCTCCATACACATCTGTGTCTTCATTTCTTCTAAGGGCAGCAGTCATACTGCATTATTTCATCATTTTCCCTCACTTACTGTTCTAAGGGTCCTAATCCCCAAATATATTCCTATTTTAAGTTCCTAAGGACTAGAACTTAGAACATTTAGGGAGGACAATTCAGAATAACTTCATTTGGAAAGTTAATATAGATGCTTATAATATAAATTGGAGAAAAATTGTAAAGTCTGTGGAGGCCCACAAAGGTTTCCTAGTGAGATCTGAGCTTGCTTTACCCAGCCAAGGCTGCATTAGAGGATTGCTTGACCACATGGGAAGGTTTGAAGGGAAGAAATGATGTAATAGTATCATGATCTCAAAAAATTTAAAATTTGGACACAAAATTCTAATGAAAGTACCATATACAGTCATTATTAATACCTTGCCATTTATAATCATGAGAAAAAAATAAAATACTTCTTAGTAAAAAAAAATCTAAGATTTATTTTCATTTTTCATTATAAATTAATTTATCAAGCAGCATACAAAGTAACTGGTTATTTTCACACTTACATGTCATACTTGGTTCTTCCTCAGTCACCTCTCCCATTGCTCTCCTAGTTTCTACTGGTTCCCTTGCCCTCCCCAGAAGGCTACCCTTTCCCTTTAAGACTGAAAGCCGGTAAAGATGATACAACTTAATCATACAGAAGCATCTAAAACTGAAACACATGCACATGCACACACACAAGAAATGAAGAGGGAACAAGCTGGCGCTGGTTTGGGAGTTCTTTTGTGTGATTATTCTACAGCCTAATACCAAGAAGTGGGGTATGGGTGGGGTAAGGCTGGAGGAATGTCTCAGCAATTAAGAGCACGAGCTGCTCTAGTGGAGGACCTGAGTTCAATTCACAGCAGCCACATGGTAGCTCACAACCGTCTGGAACTTCAGTTCCAGGTAATCTGATGCCTCCTTCTGGTCATCTGCAGGCACAAAGCACACACATGGTGCACATACATAAATTCATGTAAACACCATACACATGTATGAATTTTAGTGAATCTAAAACAAAAAGAGAAAAAAACAACAAAAAGAATCAGTGACATTTTCAACATGGATTGTTTTGCCTGAAACCAGGACCTAACATTTTCTCTTCATAGTTATTAAGAAAATGAAATTTTAGTCAAGTTAATTTAGGTTTGTTAAATTGGTCACCTACTTATAATAAAATTAATACCATTCAACTACATTAGAAATGTATAATCTTCTCATAAACATGTCACTGGCTTCCTTGCATATAAAAATCCATGCCCATCATTGGTGCACCAACCTGTTTTAGTTTTAGCAGATCACTATGACTTCCTCACATAATCACCACAATAGTCACTAAGGGCTACCTCGGAAAAGGTCAAGACACACTTGCAAATCATCTCCCAGGGAATGTAAGCTTTCCTATTAAAAAATGTTTAAAATCTGAAATTGATTTTTATGACTTCTAATCACATGAGGGTGCATGCATCTGCACATGCATATCTGCAAGGGCCTGTGGAGGCCAGAGGCTTTAGTTCCCTTGGATTTGAAGTTACAGATGGTTATGAGCCACATGACTCAGGTGCTGGGAACTAAACCCTGATCCTCTGGAAGAGCTGCACATGCTCTTAACATTGAGGCATTTCTCCAGCAATGAATAGAAATATTTCTATGATGCTTACTATCATGGCCAATTTTTTAATGTATAATAATAAATTAGAACCAGAGTTAAATGAATATCTGCTCTATCTTACAGGAACACAGAATAACTCAAACTTTAAAAGTTTTTTATTACACACAGTAGAATTCTATAGTATAGTCTTAAAGGGAATTTATTTATTTATTTATTTATTTATTTAGATAATGTATGTGAATGCTGTGCCTGAATGCATGTGTATGTCCCACTTGCATGTCTGGTGCCTGCAGAGTTATTTATTTATTTATTTAGATAATGTATGTGAATGCTGTGCCTGAATGCATGTGTATGTCCCACTTGCATGTCTGGTGCCTGCAGAGACCAGAAGTGGGTATGATTCACTGGAACTGGAGTTACAGAAGGCTATAGGCTTACACATGGGTGCTGGGAGCCAAACTTGAGTCCTCTCGAAGAATAGTGCTCTTAATCAATGAGCCACATGTGATGGTTTGAATGAGATGTCCCCCACAAATCTCGGGCATTTGAATACTTGGTCCCCAGTTGGTGGTTATTTGGATTAGGAGCCTTGATGGAGGAAGTATGTCACTGTGGGCCGACTCTGAGGTTTCAAAAGCCTTAAATCATTTAGAATTCGGGCCCTCTGCTTCCTGTTTGCAGTTCTGAGATGTGAACTCTCAGTTGCTGCTGCCGTCAACATGCCTGCTGTTTGCTGCCCTGACAGAGATAGACAGACTCATATCCCTACAGATGCATAGACTTGTAACCCTCTGTAATCCTAAGCTCCCCAAAAACTCTTCCTTCTAGAAGTTGCCTTGGTCATGGTGTTTCATCACAGCAATAGATAGTAACTAAGTCCATCCCTCCAGCCCTTATTTATTGTTTTGTGGAACTGGACCTAGAGTCTACTCATGCTAGGCAAGAGCTATACTCCAGTCACCCCTTCCCTCTCCAGTCACCCCTTCCCTACTCTTTAACTTTGTAAGACAGGGTCTGACCAAAGTGCCCAGACAGACCTTTGAGTTTGAATTACATGTATATGTTCTCATTTACTTATAGTATGTGTGTAGATGTGTGAACACACATGTGCCACCAGTAAGTGTGTGGAAGTCAGAGGACAATTTGCAGGAGTCAGTTCTCTTCTTTTACCATGTGGTTCCCTAGGACTGAACTCAGGCCGTTAGGCTCAGCACCAATGCTTTTACCCACTGAGTCAGCCATCTCACTAGCCCTAAGCCTTGAGATCCTTTTGCCTCAACCTTCAAAGTAGCTGGGATTATAGATGCACCACCAAGTCTAACTCGTAGAAGGTAATTTACACATACAGACACAATTAGAATTGTATATTACAATTATAATACAATTAGAATGGTATATTTAGAAGGAAAGCATTTTATGGTATACTGCAATGTGAAAAGAAATGTAAGCTGCAAATAAATATACATAGACAGGCACATACTAACCTGTATTTATAGACATTTTTATCTTAAACTCACCTAAAAATACAATGTATATACATAATAAATTGTAAATAAAATGGAGCATTTTATAAAACACTTTGTTTGTTTACTTCTTATAATATAAACAAAAACACTCACATAAACATATTCACATATTTTTGTTTGTTACCAGAAAAATGGTCAGTACTTTCTAGCCATAACCTCTGGAAAAAGGGAAGAGTGCTTTGGAGGGGGAAGGGTAGCAAATGAGAGAAAGATTTCACTCTGTCCTGTAAAATCTTTATACCATTTTCACATTTTATAATTAACACACACACACACACACACACACACACACACACACACACACACCTTAAATTGTTTTTAAAAAAATATCAAATAAAGATGCTCTCATTAAAAAATTTTAAATGGAAAGAGCCTAACATTCTCATGATCTTTACAAGGCAGTCTTTAAATTGTGAACATGCTGTCTGTCTTAAAAATAGAACACTAAGATTATATTCATCATCAGTCTGCTATACACACTGCTGTATCTAGTGAGATGATGTCAGAGAGTAAGCATGGTGTGCGGCATTCACATGATGAAAAGATCACATCACTAGCTCCCTCTCTCCATGGCTTATGAGGTTTTAAGAAAGAAGTTTACCCTGCACAACATTAGCACCATTAACGCCAACAGCTAAAGCTATACTTAATAGTAAAACAAATACTAGTTACAACAAAAGCTCATACTTAAAATGAAAAATGACTTATCCATGTAAAATATTACAATTAAAACTCTGGTATAGAAACTTAAAACAGGATGAAATCAATGAGAAAAATCAGAAAAAAAAATTCAATAATTCAGTAAGTTGGTATTCAAAAATTTCTTCTTAGTGATCATTAGGAAATGTTTACCGAGTCAAGAAAAAGTGTGACAGTATAGTTTCAAGCTCCTTACCTTAGTGAAGTTATTCAGATGGCCCAACTTTCTCATATTTGATACCCCTTGCAATTTGGCCACATTTTGGAGAATTTCCCTTAAGTTATCAGAAGGTTCTGGTAAAAAATACAAAACAATTTAATATATGTTTAAAAGGATTAATGTAATCAAACACAGAAAATATGCTGTGTCAAACCTCCATGATGTTGGTTCTCCGTGTATAGTCTAACCCTTCACCCCAAAATTCACGAATTTAGTTGACTTCAAAGTTCAATTCCCTGACATTTCCACTGCCCTCACATATACCTATTGTTCAACATTGTGTATCACCTGGAATTATTCAACCACAAAATCATAAATCTCAACATAACAACTTTCATTTTGGTTGTTAGGTAGCAACAGAAACTAAGTATACTGTCCAGCTTTAATTAGCCAAAGCATAAGATAAAACATTTTTAGGGTATCATTTTCACAACACTGGACATATGCAATAAAGAACAATGGTCCCTGAAAACTGAGAGACACCCATGCATGCCCTCCACTTGTAGCCCTACACTTGTACTGGCTAACTGCCTTAAATGTTTCCAGGCACTGTAACAGGGAGGGGAAATCGAGGCAAACTGAGTTACACGAAGCTAAGAGTACAAAGACCGTGGATTACTAGAAAAAGACACTGTCCAGAAAAGGAACACTGAAGACCTGGCAAAGGGCTTGTGGGACAGTCTGCAGAGCAACAATCACTGCAGGAATGTGAGGAAATAAGCCACGGATCAGGAGCAACCCTGGAGAAAGAGTGCCCTTCCTTACAGCAAGGTTAAAAAGCACCATGTTACATGAAGTGCATGGTACCAATTTAATACAAACAATAAATGAGTAAATTCAAGATTCCAAGCAGAGGGAACATGAAGAAATTAGACAAAGACGCTTCATAACTAAATTGCTCAATACTGCTAAAAGAGGGCCAGCAAGATGGCTCAGCAGGTAACCAAGCCTGTTGCCCTCAGTCTGGTCCCCAACGCCATGTAAAGGTAGGAGAAAACGAACTTCACAAACCTGTCTTCTGACCTCCACATGTATGCTGTAGCATACGCATCCAAGTGCATACACAATAATAAAAATCCACTGAAAGTCTAAGAGTAGAAAAACCTATCATAGTTCACTTGCTTTACAAGAACAGATAATGGCCAGATAGCGTTCTGCAGTAGTTTATCAATCCATTGAAAACAACACAATTTCTCAAGCTACTAATATTTTTAACATCTTGTCTTAAAAACAATCTTTAATTACATTATAATTTTGTTCATATTTTAGTTTAACAGCCATCGTGACTTCATTTGAGATTTTTAAAAAGAACTCAACTATTTGTTATAATTAGTGTTCTCCTTACTAAATGAAACTGTCCTGCTCTGCATTTGGCTTCTACTCTACCTCACTTCACTCTAATATTTGGTACTGGCCATGAGAGTGCTGATACCCCAGTAAGCACAGTACCAAAAACTGCTAAAATCATCCCCTTCATTTCTACCTTCACCTCTTATAAATTCAATTTAGTTTTAAGTGGGCTGGCAATGGGCTGTAATAGTGACTTACACATCTACTTTAAAAGTAGAATGAAAGCCTAGCTTTAAGTAAGATCAGATCCTTAAACAAATGATAAAGGCCTGATGTAGGTCACTGCTGATGCTCTGAAATACCACTCTGTTGTTCTAAATTCTATCTATAAAGAATGAGGGAGGAAAACACGTTAATCATTTAACAATGTCTGAGAGATGACAAAATTTTATGACAACCTTTAAGATAATATAATTTAGAACCTATGCAGTTTTCAGAGTCAAAGAGGAAAGTCCATAAAAACGTTAGGATCCAAAGAATTCAAGTGACAAGTTACTCCTACCTAAATAGCTCTCAAGATTAAGATTTAAGAGAACTGCTTTAGAGAGGGGCATCCCAAGCTTTCTAGGTTGAAACCGTTGACATTGTAAAAATGCCATCTGCTGTAAAGAGTGGAATCTTCCCCGTTCACTCATCAACAAGAATCAACTGAGAGCTCACTCTTCTCAGGTTCCATCTCAGGCACTGGGGACACATCGTGTACAAAAGTCAGATCTCTCATACATGTACTTCCCACATAAGAGGGAGAAGGGCTGCATTCAACAAGGGCCTCAAACTATAGAAGTTCAGTTTCTCTGTAAATAGTTGCAGAAAACACAGTTCCCCTAGATACCATGTTACTTCCCAGGCCAGCTAAAAACAGTAAAAAGGCCTTTTCAGATCCTGAGATACTATCTAACACTCACGTGCTACAATGTTGCAATCAGGGAACACTAACTTATATTGAGTCAAAGATTCCCTGGTAACAAAATGAGGAATATCTAGTTTCTTCTTTCCCTATTAGACTCGGTTTTGGTAAGCTTTTTCTGTAGAAGTCTCAGATAAAAGCCAAAGTAGACTTTGTAGATCACAAAGTTTCTTGGTATGTAAATAAATAAAAATGGTTTTGTGTTTTAGTCCAAACTGCCATGAAACAGAAACACGGGATAGGTGTCTTATGAACCAAAATATCGTCTTACAGTTCTGGAAGCCTCAAGCATAAGGCCCTATCCAGTTGGCCAGGCACTAAGCCAAAACAAGAACTGAGGAAACAAAATGAATATAAAGGAGTAATCACTTAAAAAAGATAAAAAAATAAAAAAGTCTGGCACCACCAAATGCTAGAGAGAAAGAGGACATTAAAGCCCTTATACACTCACTGTTGGAGGGAATATAAAAAGTTACACTGCTACTATAACTCTGATCCAGAAGTTCCATTCCACTACTATATTATAGTGTAGTTAGACACTGAACTACTAACCAACAAAAATAAACACCTAGGTCAATACAGATCAGTCTCAAAATCTTACAAGAAGCCAGCAGACAACGTCCACACTGTGCCACCCCAGTCACACAGAGTTAAAGCATGAAGTAAAATAATGGTGGCTGCTGGGAGATGAAGTAACCAATAGAAAACAGACAGAAAGGTTAGGGTTAGGGATGGAAATCTGTGTCTGATTGGTGGTGCACACCAATATACTTCAAACAGGTACTGTGCTGGCTAGTTCTGTGTCAGACCGACAGCATCTAGAGTCATCTGAGGGAAGCTGCATGGAGAAAACACCTTCTACCAGATTGGCCTGTCAACAAGCCTGTGGATCATTTTCTTGATTAATGATTGATATGGGAGGGCTCAGCTCACTGTGGATGGGGCCATCCCTAGGCTGGTGGTCCTCGTTGATAAAAGCAGAATGAGCAAGCCAAGAGGAGCAATTCAGTAAGTACCATTCCTCTAGTGCCTCTCCATCGATTCCTGCCTTGAGTTCCTGCCCTGACTACTTGATGACAGACTGTGATGTGGAACTATAAACTGAAATAAACCCATTCTTCCCCAAGTTACTTTTGGTTATGGTGTTTTATCACAGAACTAGAAACCCTAACTAAGACACATACATTCTGCTTTGTGTGAATTAGAGCACAAATTTCTTTCTGTGCCATAAACATATTCCAGACTGAATATCCTCATCTGAAATACCTGGGACCTGAAGTAGCCTGGATTTCAGATGTCATCAGATTCTAGAATACATGCATATAATAAAATGAGATCTCTTTAGGAGGAGAGCCCTGAAATCCACTTATGTCATACACACCTTATTCACACAGTATAAAGATTATCATGTACCACTACCTGTGTTTTGACTAGAATCTGTCACATAAGGTCAAATGTGGTAATTTCCAGATTAGGAAAGCTCAATCTATACTTAAGAAACCAAAACTGACTGAATTAAACTAACAAAACCAAGGATAACTAAACAAAACAAATAATTCAGTTATCCTTGGTTCTGTATACTCTTTCTCTTTCTCTCTCTCTCTGAACAGATCCACAAAACCACTAAGAGAAAATAATAAACAAGACAAGTCATTTATTTGTACTTCGTTCATTTGCTCAATTCTCCATGTATTCTCACATAAACACCTACAAATGTTTATATACAACTAAACATTTAATTTTTAAATTGTTTTACACTCTATTATAACTTGCTGCAATTAACTATGCTAATATTTTATCTATCAATAAATGCATAACATAAATTTTATTTTTAAATGAACTTTGGAATAAAAACAAACTATATTCAAATTTAGCTTATGCACTTACAAACCATGTAGTCTTGCTTAAATCACTTAACTTCACAGGAATCCATCTTTTATCTACAGTAGAAAATAGTAACAGCTACTCCATAAATACTGTAATTAAAAGTTATTTGTTTAGCAATAACAACTTTTATGGACCAATCATGTGAAAATTATGTGGTTAGTCCAAGCAAATGTTTCATTCATGACTTTTTAAATTAATGGATTTTATTACAGAGTACTTTGATGCATTACTTTCATGATTCAAGATTTGCTCATATTTAAAGTAGAAACAATTACCTTTCAGAGCTGTATTAGTGATTATACAGCACATACAGAAATAGTAAAATCACAATGCTGTATGAGCATTAGAAAATAATAATATTCTTTTTCTATTTAGTGTGAATGATTTGAAATCATTTATTTAATAGGCAAGGAATACCTGCTTCTATGAATATAGTAATTATATGAATAAATCTAATCTAAAAGTTATTACATAATAAAACTTCAAACAAACCTCTAAAGAGATGTATGTGTTAGAGGAATAAATAACATAAATTTAATGGTGCTGAACAGGGTAAGTGAGCAGACCCCGGTGCTGTCATTAACTATATCCTTGACTATATTCAACAGCATCTAGAATACTTTAAAGATTCAATTCTTAATCTATCATCCTACAGTTTACCCTACTTTTAATTCCTCAACATTCTTTTTACCTAAACTCACTATTTTGGAGTTGTTGCATGTATTAGAGCATTATCTGTATATGCTGTTTCCAATACAAATGAGAGTAAGAAACTAGGCGAGCATTTACACATAAGGATTTAGAAAGGCTTTCAAGTCTCACAAGGTCAGTAACATATTTACAACTACATCAAAGGCCAAGTACAGTTTGATCACATAGTAGGTTTTCAAGAATTATTGTCTGTATTACAGAACAGCTGTTCATGGTGAC